CACCACTTATGAAATGAGAAGTTTTTGAAGATAGCATGTAATTGTTGTGGGATTTTTATAGGCAAGAGGACAAAGAGCTTTAGAATTAATTCATTAAGAAGCTTGAAGTTGCAGGTGAATGCTTCTTTGTGGATTGAAACATGTAGTTTTCAGTTATCAATTCAATTCTCTGCACAATTTTGTAACTTTGAGTAAGCTATTTTTTTTTTCCAGATATTTTAGTTTATTTTTTGGTGTGTGATGTGGTCTGGACAATTATATATGGATGATATAGTATGGATAATATCAGATATAATTCTTTTACTCATGTATGGATAGTTTTGTTATCAATAAGAAGATCAAAGCAAATGGTCATTACATGTTTTGTTAATCTCTTCATTTCTGGGTTTAACTTGTATGAGACCATATGGAAGCTCTCCAAAATGAGGTAGAGCCATTTATGACCATTACTAGTCCGAAAACCAAATAAAGAAGCAAATAAAAGCAAACAATTGATGATACACTTCCATGATTATCAGTTTTATGGTTTCCAAACTTGTTTTCTTTGATTTGTTTTGGTTCTTGGACTTGGTTTTGTGCAAAAGCTTTTACCTCATTACGGTAGAGCTTTGCTCATAGTGTTATACTTTGTAAACTAGTTTTAAATTGAAAAGTCCATCATTTAGATTTTTCATTGTCCAATTTTGCATTATCACATGGAACATAATGTGGTATCAAACAAGTTAAATCTCGAAAAGAATAGATTCAAGTGCAAAATGGTATAACCATTTTTTATTATTTGTATGGATAACAAAGTTTGAATCATACGACAAAAACATGGCCAAAATCCATATTTATTACGTACTTTTTAAGCTATCAAGAAAACTTCTATGTCCATGGAGACTATATTATTCAATTTATACATCGTTGTGGATCATGAATCGTGGATCTAGCGTTCTGGATTATAAATCGTGGATACAACATTGTGGATCATGAAATTTGGACATATTGTCGTGGATACTAGATCTTGAATACAACGCCTCTTCATCCCATTTGAACATAACAAAGAGGTAAATCGAAACACTGAAATAAAGTTTTTCATTTCCATGCATCATCAAATTTAACTAAGAGCACAATCTATGCTATTCATATCGATCATCACATCATGTTCATCTTTCGAACATCTCATTTTCCAATTAACAACATTTAGAGACATGACAAGAGAATAAAGGAACAGGAAGAAGAACAACAAGAATACTTAGCAATTGAATTTCAGTTTACACAAAAAAAATTTATCTATCATTGACAGTTCCTAATTAAGAAGCTGCCAATGTTCAAAGCAATCCACAACTTTTGCTAGAAACAAACCAAAAATCAGAATATAAAAAATGGATCAAACGATTCATAAATCTATGAAACTAGAAAAGTTAAAACCTTTTGTACATCAATTTGTATCCATCAGAAGGTTCCAAACCAAATGATGTACATCTATAGCTATAAAAGGAGTAGCGAAAGGTGAGGCAAGGAGCTTTTCTCTGGTTTTCAACAGTGGCGGAGGAATCTGGATTACTCCGGCGGAAGAAGCAAAGGGATACCTATCCGTAGGAAACGGTAGGTCTTTCAGGGAGTCAAGTATCCAACTTCACCGTCGAATCTCCTAAATTACATACAAAAACTTCATCAATTTCAAAACCAAAACTGATGATATGCAATTCCAGAAAATTAAAACAAAAAACTCAACATGAAAAGACTGTAACCGACGGACCTTCGACTGCTGAATTCGACATGGCAGACTGGTGACTCAGACTCGCAACTCGCCAAACTTTCTCTACAAGAGCGGCGTGAAAGATCTAGGGTTTTACCTTTGATGGTAAAGTGTAAATAATAAAG